TTAAATTTGTAAATTCATCCAAATAATCAACGAGCTCACTTAGCTTTGATTCGTGCAATTCACGTTTTATATTTATAAGAAATTTTCTAATTATTAAAAGTCTTAAATAAAATTCAAAATTAGATATTAATAAAAGGATTTTTATAGTTTATAAAATTGTGTTTAAAAGTACTTTATTTTATAAAATAAATGTTTTTCTGCAAATATGATATATTCACTTAGTTTTTCTTTATTATACTAATATATGATATAAAAAATGATTATTTAATGTTTTACATAATTCAATAAATATTAAAGTATTAATAATATTAAAAGACTGTAATTATTAATTATCTATTTAATAATTTAGCAATAAAATATTAATATGAATTATTAGTAGATTTATATATTTTATAAGTTTTTAAATTTTGTTAAATTTGATTAGTTATATGGATGCTTTGCAGTAAAAAGGAAGGAAACTACTAAAAAATTTTTTTGAGTTAATATTAAATCTGAATTTATTTTACTAAAAAAAATAATATTTAACTTATAAAATAAAAAAATTTTTTTGGTAATTTCTTTCTTTTCTACTGCAAAATGCCAATATCTTCTTTAAAATTATTAATAACATAAATTTAATAAATTTATTTAAATAATTTTCAATATTGGTTGTTAAATAAGAAAATTTAAAACAATTTTCACAAATAATTTTTTTTGCTGTTCTTTTCTATTAGAACTTAATAATATTTGTATCTATTATCAATAATATTAATATTAACATAATTCTATATCCAATTAGATTTACATTTTATTAGTTGTATATGTTTGATAATTGATAATACATTAATAAAAAGTTATTATTTAGAAAATGAAAGAGAAGATGTTTGAGAAAATAAAAAATTTTATGAAAAATAGTAGATATTGAATTAGAAAATTATTATGAATTGGCTGTAGTTGAGTCAATATATGACTTGTATGTATATATTTAGTACTATTTAGTTCATATATTATAAAACTCAATTTTTCTTTTATTTTATTAGAATTTTTCATTTTACACTTATTTTCAAATATTTTATTTAAAAAGAATATTTTTAGCAAGATTTATATAACAAAATTAAAAATAAAGAATTAACTGACTTTTTAAAAAAGAAAAACAAATGAGATGTAGTATTATAATGATTTATTATTAAATACATTATTGATATTGTAACGTTATTATTATTAAATTTAATCTTGTAATATTATTATTAAAAATCAAACTATAATAAATCATTGCATAAATAATATATAATTAGATTTTATTTAGAATATAATAGTGCATTCAGGTGATAAATAAAAGTTGAGGTTTAGTAAATCATGTAATTTCAAGAAAATCATAGTTTAAAATTATTAGTTAATTTAGTAACTGCAATTTATTTATTATTTTTAAAGATTTTTAAAATTGGTTTTTTGCAAACTAGAGTAAAGTTTTATAAGGAATTTATTAAAGCATTAGTTTTTCTTTATTAAGTTTATTTCATTCATTAAATATAATAATAAAAAATACAACAATTGTAAATTATAAAATATTATATTTTTTTTAATATGCTATATATAAATTTTTTTTTATTTTCTGAAAAATTAGATCAATAAATATGTAATTATAATAAAATTTTAAATCAAAATTTTGGCTGAACCCTGGTTTTTGCTGAATTTAACATTTTAAGGCAATGTTTAAACATCATCATTTTTTAACTGAATATGATTTTCCATCTGAATTTAAAAGAAATTAATGATATAATTACGCTTTATCTCAAAATCTAATCTGTTAAAACTTTAATTTTAAGTTTTTTTATAATATAATATCAATAAAATATTTCATATATTGATAGGTAATAACTACATATATATATATGTGTGTGATATAACTCATATTCATAAATATTTTAAATTACTAACTAATTCTTTTAACATGAAATAAAAGGTAAATAGATTAATAATTAGTCTAAAATAATAATAAAAGTTATTTTTACAAAAGCAAGTAAATAAAAATAAATGTATATATAGACAGAAATTAAATAACTAAACTAACACTAGACAAGTTTCTGATTTATATGAATTATAATTAGATACAGGATATGTTAGGTATAAGAACAGAAATTTTTGGTTGTAAATCCAATCAATGCTTCAGATAAATAATTCAACAGTCTCAAAGGAGGAGCATTTTAGTTTGAAACCAGTAGCAATAGATTTATATTATTAGCCACTCTATCAAATACAAAGTTCAAAAAGAAAATTATTTAATAATAACAAAATTAATAATGATTCTCACCCAAAAATATGGTTTAAAATAACATCAACTTATTGTAACATCAATTTTATTGAATTTATATAGAACTCAATTTGCATGATTATCTGTTCTAGCAATCATATTAAAGCTCATATTAAGAAGGACTTATACTGAGCGTTTCTTTAACATCAACATTAAATTTACGAGGCCAATAAAAAATGCAGTAATGCCCAAACCAATATAGTAAATTGACCAAGAAAATATCCACTTTTTCGTTTTTCTAAAGGTCTAGCAAAGTTACTGGTAGTCAAATATTGACGTATATTTTTACTACCACCAGGAAAATTTCTATCAGTATATTCATTTTCGGGTATCCTAAAGTAAGGGTATTATGACGGGTTGCTTCTTCATCATAATTTTGATCATCTTATTATTGTATTGGGTAATATTACCATTATTCTGATTCTGACCATGATAATTTTGATCTTCCGTACTATATAAATTGTATGTCTTCCTATCCACTAATGGAGTTAACATAAGTCTTGATTTACTTTCTCTCTCTGTGTACGTAACATCTGTTGGTTCTTCTGTTTCACCTGTATATTATGAATTTTCAAATGGTAATTGATGCTGAGAATTCGACACATTATTTGTTATTGCCACTTGATAATGATTAGAAAGTGATAAAATTTATTGAAGCAGCATCATTATAAGCACTTCTGGAAGAATTAACACAAGGTGTCCCAACTGCGGTAAATAACAAAAAAAATAACAAATTAATCAGATAATTCCCATGATAAAATAGATATTAGGCAAGATACAGTACCTCCACCTAATGATCCTGTGAAAATTTCCAGTATCTATCTCCGTTAAATGTCTTTAATTTAATTTTGATACCTTTTTGATTAGCTGGACTAGTCAGACTGGTTGGACTTGACAGGTTATTGTAATATTGGTTTTTATGAGAACTTTTAATAATACTCGGTTTACTAAATAATTTAAACGATAGTTACACAACTTAAATATTTGTTAAAAAGATAAAATTTTCCCGATTTAATTCCTTAAAAAAATCGTTATATTTCTAACAAATGAGATAATATATTTTTATTTTTTTACGAAAGAGAATGACTTAAATTATAATAATTTTCTTGGTAAAAAAAATTTCAATAAAGGTTAATCGGTAAAAAAAGAGAATCTGTCATAAAACATACATTGCAACTGGGTCCCTTACTTTGAACTCTTGATGCAACTCATCAATTATAATTCATTTGGCCAAGAATATTGTTCGATTTTTAACATTTTGTTCATTAAGAATAAGAAAATGTCGAATGTGCTGTAATTATTATAAAAAAAAAATTAAAAACTGATATTAAAAATATAATTACGGTATTTAAATTACTCACCGTTGAAAAGTACGTGGTTCTTCATAATTCTTTCGTTGTTATTGCTATTCATTTTGAAAAAATATTTTGTGAAAAAAACGCGTAAGTTTGTAATAAAAAAAAAGTGTAGTCAATATATATATATAAATATAAAACGTGAATTGCACGAATCAAAGCTAAGTGAGCTCGTTGATTATTTGGATGAATTTACAAATTTAA